CCTGGGACCCCAGCCGGGGCAGGCAAACCAGAGAGGCAGAGCCAGACCAGCTGGTAATGGGCCCAGCTCCCAGCACAAACTCTGCAGGACTGCCAAACCCTGGCTGTGCCGTTCCAGCAGAAGCAGCTGCTGATGGAGGAAGCACCACAGCAAAGCTGGGCCACATCTCCCTGGCGTGCCAGGCTCAGAATTAACGAGGAGGGACTCTTAAGTTGCTGGGGAAATGGGTGCAGCCAGCAGTGCATGTGCCACACTGGCACAGAGCTCCCCACATGGGCAGTCTGCGATGCGCCGATGCTGGTGGCATCAGCCTCGCTTGGCCGCTCTTTGGCATGGGGAGGCTGCTGCCAGGTGGACTTTACCCCAGGCAGCTCCTGCCCTTCACCCTTCATCCCACAGAGCAGCACAGGGAGAAACAAACACCTCCGCACTGCACGCACCTGGCAGCATGTCATCAAAGCTGGAGCGGGCTTCGGGGTGGCGCAGCAGCGACTTTGGAGTGAAGATGATCAGCTGGAAGGGGGAGAAGAGGCAGAGCAAGGCAGTCAGCCCAGCTAGAAACACCCTCCTGCAAGCAAAGGCTGGAGCACCGACTTGCCTGTCCTGCCTGCCCTCCCCTGCTCCAGCACACCAGCAGCCGTAAGAGATTTGCTCCTCGCGGGGCTGCTGTGCTCTGCCAGACTGGGCACTGGTTTCCGACAGCACCAGCTTTCCCAGTCTAGGTTTTCCCTGGGGAAGAGGTGAGGTGCTGCTGGGGACCTGCCCGCTCCAAGGCCGGAGCTGAAGGCAAACAGCTGGACCCAGTTATTTACTGATGTCCGCCGGCCCCAATGTCTCTGACCTCCCTGTGGAGCGCAGGAAGGGGTTGCAGCAACCTTAGCCTGCACAAGCTGGCTGGCAGCACCTCACACACCAAACCAACCCCCAGCACCAAGAGTTTCATGGCCCTGGCAGAGGAAAACAGCACTTGTTTGCTGCCAAGGTGCAAGAACAAGCCCACCCCTGAGTCCCGTCCCAAGGCTCAGCCAGGATGTGGGGCAGCCCAGCCTTGGCACTGCGCCAGGCACAGAGCTGCCAGCACTGACCGGTTTGCGGAAGGGCAGGAGAATCTGGCGCCGGAGGACATGGAAGAAGTTGGCTGGAGTGGAGCAATTCACAACAATCCAGTTGCACTCGTAGAGCTGGCGCACGTCAAAGTCATCCAGTTTCTGCCTCAGCGAGCACAGATGATGGAATTTCAAGAAACGCAAGGTGCCCCTTGGCCTCGCAGCTCCGGGAGTGGGGAGAAGAGCAGCACCCAGCCTTCCCTCCTTCCCTCCCTCCCTCCCTCCCTCCTGTCCCCTGAAGAGCACACAGAGACCAGGGAGAGGCTGCAGGTCTGTCCCCCCCACCTTGGGGTGGCCCCAAGAGTGGCGAGCAGTCCACTCCCACGCAGGTTTTGGGGCCACCTCTGCCTCCTGCTGTGCAGCAGCCCCAGGGGCGGTGGAGGTGCAGCCTGGGCACTGGGTTCAGCCCCTTTTCCCTAAACCTCCCAGCTGCAGCAAGAGCCCAGGGTGTCCCATGTCTCCTGCTACCAGCTCCATGACACCCGCCCTGAGTGCAGCACTTCACTAAGCCCACCCGGTGTTGTTGCTTCCCTCCCCATTTCAAGGCAACAGTTGTACTGAGGACACAGGAGAGCTGGGCTCAGCTCAGCGCAGCCACCACTTACGGGGAAGACGTCAGGATCATCATTGCACATCTGCAAGAATCGCTCTGGGCGGGCAGAGGAGTGCTCAGGACCCTGCAGGGACCAAGCAGAGGGGAGAGTGAGTCGGGGGCAAGGCTGGTGCAAGAAGCTGATGCTGGGCACGTCCATGCCACAAGCAGTGCTATCTGCCACCACTGCCCTTGGCTCTGCTCTTGGTGCAGGGCCAGGCAACGGGCAACCCTGGATGCTTGTGAGTTGTGGGGGGTCCTTACCATGCCCTCCATGCCGTGGGGAAGCAGCAGGACGATGCCGTTCTGCCTGACCCACTTGGCCTGCCCGGGACAGATGAACTGGTCGATTATGCACTGAGCGGTGTTGTGGAAGTCCCCGAATTGGGCTTCCCAAAGCACCAGGGCGTTGGGGCTGGCCATGGCAAAGCCCAGCTCAAATCCTGAGGGATGGGAGAGAAGCGAGGGGGTTATCCTCCTGGAGCAGGCTCAGCCCCTGAGCAGTGAGCGCAGAGCTGCTTGCTCACCGAGGACGCCGTACTCCGACAGAGAGCTGTTGCAGACGGTGTAAGGAGCCTGGTTGGGCCAGAGGTGGTTCATGGGGATACAGGTCCTCTTGTCCACATTCTGATCATGAAGGACATGGTGGCGATGGCTGGAAAAGGGGAAAGCATTACTCCATTGTCACCCTTTGGATCCCTTCTGGAAAGGCTGGAATCACCTTTACGGCCACAAAAAGCATGGCTTTACCTGAATGTCCCTCTCTCAACATCCTGGCCGCTCAGGCGGATGTGGATGCCCTCTTTCAGCAGGGAGCCGAACGCCATGTACTCTGCCAGGGCCCAGTCCACCGTTCGGTTCTTCACCATTTCCCCACGGGTTTTCAGAATACGGCTCAAGCCTGCCAGGTCAGAAACCGGTTTGTAGCCGGTGAGTGAGGGAGCTCCAGCAACACCATGTTTGTCCCACAACCTGCCCACAGAGTGACAGACTGCAAATGCCTGGGGGCAGAGGAATGGATCTGCCCCTGCCAGAGGGATGAACCAGGGATGAGGAATCAGGACTGCAGGGAAGGATCAGCTCCAAGGAAGAGCTACTCCTCAGTTCAAGTCCCTTAAGCACAGCTCCCTCATGAACTAATTCTCATAGACTCACAGAAGGGCTTAGGCTGGAAGGGACCTTCAGAGGTCACCTAGTCCAACCCCCTGCCATCAGCAAGGACATTTTCCACTAGACCAGGTTGCTCAAAGCCTCATCCAACCTGGCCTTGAACACTTCCAGGGAGGGGGCAGCCACAGCTTCTCTGGGCAGCCTATTCTAGTCTCGCCACCCTCACGGGAAAGCCCCTCTTCCTTATGTCCAATCTAAACCTGCCCTC